GTCCGCCTCTTGAGTCGTGTAGTCCGAACCGATCGGCACCGAGTTGCAGGCCAGACCGGCAAATGTTCACATCACCTGCCGGCTGTCTTCGGCTCCGATTTGATACGTGGCCCAGACTGCGCAGCCCGGGCTGATCGCAATGATAATCTTGATCTTGCTGGCTTGCGCCACAGGACTGGAAAGAAAAGTAGCGCAGCTTCGATTCTAAAGAAGCATGTTGTATGTACGGCATGACGGTGGCTGTCTGAATGCCGCTGATCAACCCAGCCATCGTCTCCAATTGTGTTCCAATTGACAGGGAGACGCCGGTTGCTTGGTGGTCAGACCACTCCTGAGATATGTCACCCGCCTGTCAGCGGTTTGGCGAATTCACTGCACACGACGTATATACAACCCTGCCAATAATGATTACCGTTTCGCAGCCCATCGGTCCAGGTCCGACCAACGATACGCCTGGATCTTGTATTCAATCTGGTCTCGCCCTGTTAAGCGCGTCAGTTCTTTGGCGACCCTGGACTGAGAAGCAATATCACATTTTTGCCGATGGGCATTAACAGCGGATTGGCCACACCAGCCGCTTTTCTGGCCAACCACTCCAGCCTCTGGGGGGAAACAAGCAAGAGCCAATTGTGGAATGCCATTCTCGAGCTGCTATAGGAGCAACCCATCGGTGACATGACTGAGGTAAACTTCACCATCATGTGTCGCACACAAGATTGTTTCGAGCTGACGGTGTTGAGTCACGAAATTCTACTCTTATTGATTGCAGCACTCATGTCCCACGCAATGGCCAAGTACGACGGGCTTTGCCCCATGGCGAACGCAAACCACCCTTCACCTGAAGCAGGCAGGCATCTAAGAGTGAACAAGGACAGCTGATCAATAATTGGCTTGAACACTGAGCATGACGTCCCTCTGGCAGGTGCTGTACAGCAAGTAGCATTCACCGTAGGCAAATCCATCTTGCGATAAGGGACTTGGCTCGGATGCTTCAACAACTGCACTACAGATCCTGTGAGCAAGGTGCCACAGTCCGCGTCAGCCCAAAGAAGAAGCCGGAGCATGATGGCTTTGGCAACCGCTGTGCTGACGTGCCTGCTCCCCTGTCTTCTAGAAACACCACGCCTACCAAACAGGCAGGTCATGGCGGGCTTCTATGACATTGCTTCTTCGGCACGGCCAGAAATTCGGCTTTCAGCGTTGAAGTGTCCGTCTGTGCCATCATACTTTCTTCTCCCGATCTACGGCTGCAGCTGTCAAGAAGAGAGAGGCACACCGCACAGTCTTGCTCATCAGGACTGCCGTGACCACGAGGTGAAAAAGCAAAGGCAACGCCAGTCACTCCCGAGGCTGCGCTAGATCACATACAGCCGCCACGAGGTGTGGGCATTTCGCCCCATCGTCGCATTTGGCTACGATATGATCCTACGACGATGGATGCT